TGTTAAATAATGTAGTAGAGAGTAATTGCATGTATATGAATATTTTTATCATTAGAGTTGGTACAGCATGTCAAGCTTAATTAAGAAATCAGTCTGTCATTTGGAAAAGAATAATTTTTTCTTTGCCCAAGTATGAAAGTTCGAATACTAATAATTAATATATAAATTGGCACGTCATCTTAATTTCATATGAATCACCCAGTTAGTACAGCTTACTATGAGGTCTTCCTCACTAAAAAGTCTTCACTCTGTTAGTATACCTCACTAAAAGGTATTCCAGAGAATTTCACGAAGGTACTCCGAAGTATTCCAAGTATAAAAATCCGTATAAAAGTCGGTACGGCACGTCACGCTAATTTGATGATTCACCCTGTTAATACACCTCACTTAATAATCTTCCACAAAATTTCATGAGAATACTCATCGTAGATTGAAAAATATGATTTTTTTCATTTTCCCAACAATTCCTGCATATGCTGTTGGCCATACACCTGCCGGAATCGATTTTCAATTATTGGAACATACTTGCAGACCGGTTTCGGACAACAAACACATGTTCGTCAATGCACGTGAACGAGATAACCACCGCATATCCAAAACTTTGCTCAATTCCTCTTATAAGGAAAAAACTGGCCTGAACGAATTGTTCTTTTAAGCGGCATACACACGTTACGATTTTTCGTACTGCATCTTGAACTGCAAATTGTAAAGAAAATCGTACGGCATTGCAGTACAGCCATGTTTCTTCCACACCTCACAACAGCTCGTACTGCTGAGGTTTAGATTTCAATCTTTCAAAAGCCACGTCTGAAGGAAGTTTTTATATTGTTTATTTTCTTTTTCATTATTTATTGAGATTCGTTTGGGAACAACAATTTTGCAAATAAAACTCTTTCCAGAACATCTTATTTTTCATATCCATTATAATGATATGAAATATGTAAAACCCTTTTCCCTAAATGATTTGCTTCAAACGATATGAACTCGTAACTGCCGCAGCAATAAGCTCCACACGTTCCAACTTGTCTACAATCCTCACCCCAGACAAGACCGTTGATACGATATTTTATGGAAGCTCCATACTGCGAACGATTCGACGACTGCATACTGCAAAATACCCAATTTGCCTACACACGTTATGATTTATCGTTACTGCGGCAGTACCGATGCATATCGTACTGCAAGCAGTACGAAAAATCGTAACGTGTGTAGGCCGTTTTAGATAATTTGATTTACAGCCAGTCTCCAAGTATGCCCACTCATTTTGTGATAGTAATTTGTATCAAAATCGATATTGTTAATACACTTCCTACGCCTACTCAATATGGTTATAAAAAATTAATAGTGAAATATTGTATTCAGTTTTTCTCTGCGTATATACCTTTAAAAATATTTCTGGATATGTTTGGCTCGGTTGTACCAATTAAATATCAGCCTTAGATTTGAGAAACTTGGCAACACTGCTTATTCCTCCTCTATTCCAACATCCATAGCCCACACGTCAGAAATTGTGGATGAAAAAGCGTTGCTAACTTCACACTAATATTAAAATTAGAACCAAATCAAGGAACCAAAAGCCTTAGGACTTACTGTAGCCCATATTTTGACAGAAGAAATATGTGGTCTACAAAAGTTGTATGGTTTTCTGACTAGAATAATAAATATACATACATATCAGTATACTAAACATCACCAGCATGTATGCTCATAACTTGAGAACTGAGCCACTGAGTAACTGATTCACAGACAGGCTATGTAAATTTATTAAACTGAATATAGACGTAGCCACACGGACTTTACGGTTACGTTATGCGGATGATACCTTCGTCATCAGCGGATGATACCTTCGTCATCAGCGGATGATACCTTCGTCATCAGCGGATGATACCTTCGTCATCGGGAAACATGAAAGGTACGCTCTAAACCTTTTCCTAGACCACTTGAACGCTCAACACCCCCATCAAGTTCATCAGGGAGACTGAACAGGTCCAACGGATAGCATCCTCATCAAACGATGTGGAGCTAGACCAGTGTTTCTCAAACAAATAAGTACCGACTTATTACCTTTACTCTCAGTTATCTATGTTGTAAAACGTTGTACCTTGAGACACACCCGTGGCCCACGGCGCCGCGGCGCACACTTTGAGAAACACTGGGCTAGACTAACCCACAAAGTGTACCGAAAAACCCCGCACATGGATAGATACCAGTACACTATCAAACTACCATCCTAGTCAAAAGACAACGGGCTCGAATAATGTGAACCGGAGTATCTCGAGGAATAACTGGAACGTCTTCGAGTGACCTTGAGATCGAATGAATACAGTGTACCCGAGATCAACAAGGCCATGGAGCTGAACAGTATCACGGCTCAAAATGGGGAAGACTGAGATGGTTGCACGGGCGTGTCTGCCATATATCCCTAAGGTCACAGACAGAATTGGAAAACTCTTGGGGAAACACAACATTGAAACGGTTTTGAAACCCACCAAGAAGATACAACAAAGTCTCAGGTCGGCTGAAGACAAGACCCACTATCAGCGGCAGGGGTATATCGCATATTGTGCACTTGTGGAAAGGTATACATCGGAACCACCAAAAGATCCATTGGATCAAGGCTGAAATAGCATGAAAGAAACTGCAGACTAGGCCTAACAGACAAGCTCTGAAGAAGCTAACCACTCGCGCCAGCGAAACGTCAGGAAGAAATTCCAAACATCGAAGCCCTTCAAACCCGAAAAATAGTGATATTGAATTGCTATTACTATCTTTGGGTTGATTTAGCAGTTCCGATAATTTGAAATAATCTTCGATTGTTTATATTTTCATCATTAAGAATGCATATGCGAAGAAGCTATTGAAAAAAAACTGATTTCTGTCGAGAACTCACAGTTATTGGGGTATCATAGAACTAATAATTATAATAGAGGGCATGTTAAAAAAAAATGCAGAATTTCTATATTATCTGATAGATACTGCATAAACACTTACGATGCATCTACTCCTCAAGAGTATATACAAAAGAATAATTTTAAACAAACAAAAAAAATCAAAGAGCTCATATGCGACAGATGGAGGCAAAGGTGGCAATCCCTATATAATAATAAACTCAGAGCCATTAATCCGAATCTAGTCACTCAAAATTACCGAGCTCTCACCCGCAGACAGCAAGTTTTACTTACACGCCTGAGAATTGGACATACGAAATTTACCCATCTAATCTCCTAAAGCATGAAGAGCCTCGTATTTGTGATACCTGCAGTGTGACGAGGAGTGTTGAACATTTCATCTCTGATTGCCCAGCTTTAAATGAAGAAAGACAATTTTTCGGATTACCAAGTGACCTCACCAATGCATTGGATGTTACGAACTTTACTTCCCTTTATAGTTTTTTGGAAAATGTTGGCATCTCTAAACCAAATTGGGGAACATTCCCCATTTATGGACAACCCAGAAAAATAAAACATTCAGCAAGGGACCTTTACAAACTAGTACAAAGAACATTGTTGCTGCAATAAGTGTGATGAATAAGATGTGTGGGAAACAAATTAAGACCATGCGGCTGCAGTTGTTCATGGACTTGGAAGAAATAGACAATTCAGATGGCTCCCAAGTAGTCGGGGAGAAGTGTCTATCAATTTGAATAGCTGATTTGAAATTTTGTTCCAATTAACTATACCATCATTATCTTAATTAACTTCTTTCAAAATAAAATACCAATATATCTCATTGTGGTGTAATACCTGCTTTGATACTTTTATGTTTTAGTCAGTTTAAAATTAGGACCTGTCATATCAACAGTATTTTCATCAATCATCACAATGATTCCCTTTTTTGTTTAAATAGCAACAGCGCTTTTTTGACGCAAAACATAGTAAATGTAAGATAGAAAACGTAAGATAAATAAGCAACATGTTGAAATAATCTTCCAAATTGTTATGATTTCTTTTTCAGGCTGAAGGCTCAAAGTTGAATTACAAAAAAACATCTGAAAAACTGTGAGTACAGCAGGATTATTCAGGATTCCGTGACAAAAATAAGAATCTTTAAATAATGAAATTAGTAGATAGCGCTTTTGATGAACTGATACAAGATATGGATTTTCAAGTGGCAATATATAGAACACTATCAGAATTTTGAACACATCATCTTTTGATATTCTAAATCAAGATACCGCCTGAGCTGGTTTCATAAACTTACTCAGAGTATAATGTTCTTACTCCAGATCTTTCATAAACATGTTTTAATGTACTATAAGTACTCTTTCGTGTGTTTCTAATCACAGTATTCATTATACATCAATTTGCAAATTATGTATTTCAGTTGTTTCTTTTTATTCTGATAAACAAATGGACCACATTGGAAAATATTTCGTTTGGAGGACATACATTTTTTCTATGTTGGTAACTGTTTATTTTTTGTTAGTGTCAGTTGGCAAATGTGGATGATGCTTGTAGATGATGTTTGTATTATCAATTTTCAAAATTTTTTGCGTCTATATCAAAAAGGGTTTTGTTGGAGCACATGTAATTTTTTTTGATTTGTCAATAGTGTCAGTTGTTATATGAAGTTGATGTATATATTCCCCATTTCCTAGTGTTATTTGTTGTTTTCATTGTATTCATTTCTCTTTAATTTTCTTACTAATTAGTTAAAGTATTGACATGTACAATTAACATGATAACTGACACTAATGACAAATACAGTGTAGTCAACTCAGAAAAAAAAAGTGCTACAAATGAAATCCTTATCAGATATTATCTATTATGTTCCACAAATATACAACTGCAAACCCATTTTATATGAATACATCCACATACAAGAAATTTTCAAAATTAGGTACTATTGTAATTATCCTTCTTTCATTATCTATTCTTTGAATGTATGAATTCAGAATGGAATAAATGAAAGATGAATATGCAAAATAATGAAAATTCAAAGAATGGTTAATCACTGAATTAATCCATTGAATACCTTTCTAGATTAGTGAAAAAGTTTACCTGCAGAAGGTCGTCTTCTCCGTTTAGGAGGACCAACATTTATAACTTCCCCATTAGGTAAAGCATGCAGGTAAAGGCAGGTGTTTCCAAATGGGCATGTTCCTTTCCCTTTTTTGAAATAACCACAATCTCTTTTTTTCATTTTTTTCCTTTGTTTATCAATGAAAGTATCTTTTTCTTCTTTGTTATCCATCCAAACGTTTGAAGGAAACACATAATCTGTAAAGGAAAGAAACTTAAGAATTAAGCTGAGAATGGTTTATAATAGTTTACCTGAAGCAGTTCTACATTCGGGACACGCCTTTGATACATCATGCTCAAACTCTTTACTCTGTCTCCACTTCTTTATACATGGGAAACAAAAGCAATGGTTACAGTTTGGGAGGATTCCAAACTTTTGCTCAGCCCTTAAAAAGTATCTTACTATCAATTTTGAAAAACTAAGGAAAAACATGGAACTTATTAGTTCTTTAATTTTGAAATACTGGAAAACCCTTAAAACAATCCAAAATGAATAACAACAAAAAATTTGTAGAAAAAATATTCTGTCAGCTTTCAGAAACTGATCAATCCAAAAGGTTATTCAAGTAACACTTTACTGTGAGACTTTCACTGGACAGTTTACAAAACTGTAACAAGTGTTTTGCTATTCTATGTTTACTCAAGTTTTTTCATACACATTTGTATGAATACAACAAATTATTGCCAAGTTCAATCAAGTATCTGCTTCTGCTTTGGAGACCATCAAGAATTTTACCAATGCTGGAATGGTTGATATCCACTTCATTTATAGACTAGTAAGACATTTATAATGATACATGCAAGATTATGTGAAACTGATAGTTATAATAAAAACGTAGACTAGACTAGAAAATGTAATGGCTGAAACGAAAGAAGCTATACATGATGCAATAGAAGAATATTCTTTGACTAGTGCCAGGATTGCACTGCAGCTCAAAGTCAGCCCAAAAACCATTGAAAAGTTTTAAAAACAAACTTCTTGTACCCATATCACATGCAGGTTGAAGCTCTATTGCCCAAGTTCAATGTTCTGCAGGTTGTTGATTCATATGATGGCACATAATGATAATTTTGTAACAAAAGTTGTGTTTACAGGCGAGTCAAATTTGTCATGAGATGCTGTTTTCAAATTTCACAATCACCATTTTCGGGCCGATGGAAATCCTCATCTAATTAGAGAAAATCATTTTGGGTAGGAATTATTGGTGACTACCTAGCTAGCCCATTTTTTACTAGCATGATCAACTGGTGAATCCTACATAGACTTTTTGCAGGATCATTGATGCATTTTGTTAAAAGTACCAGTACTAGTAAGAGTCAACATGTGGTTTATACAATATTGGGCTCCAGCTCATTTTAGTGTCTTTGCTTATCAGCATCTTGACATCACCTTCGGTCATTTGAAGATTCTTGTTCATAAAACTCCTAATTAGATGTGAATATGAAGAATTGAATAATGGGCAATTGCAATATCATGGAGGAAACTCCAGTTATTTTTCAATGTGTCAGATAATCAATGACAATATTTCATGGGAAGGTGGACCTTTAAGGTGAAAATTGTTTATTTTTGGTTTCTTTTTTTTCCACAAAGAGGAACACTGGTTTAGGAGAAAATTCAAAGAAGTCGCGTATATGTTGTCCAACAACGCATTTAGTCAAGCTAGCGTAGAGATACGTAACATATAAAAACCTCCAATCAAACGAAAAACGACCAACTCCCGCCAAACGGTCATCTTCCGCTAAAACCTAATGAAGCGGAGAGAGAGAAGAGGGGATAGGTGAAAGCACTCAAATGGCCTATAAATAGTCGGATCTCGGAGGAATAAGTCCAGTTATCACCCGAAGACGATTGTGGATACTAACAATCGAAAAATCGTGACATAACCTGGTTTGAAAATGTTTAATTTTAATTTTCATTTTCAATTTTTTTTTTGTTAATTATAAATTTATAATTTTCAGCTTTTATTAATATTTCAATTTTAATTTTTTGGTTATTGTTTGGTTTTATGTTATTTCTTTGTAATTTCGGTTTTTTTGTTAAAATAAAATTGATATTTTTAATATTTTTTCAAGAATTTCAAATCAATTTATATTAGACAATGGAAGTCAGAACTGATGAAATACACTACGAAACATTGTCAACCACCTTCAAACAGTTAGAAATACACTTGATTTCCTTTTATAGGTTCTTCTAGTTGATTGCCATTCCATCAAGAAACATTCTTGTTTGATGTCTGGCCAACTGTGGCAGAATGCTCGTTGTATATAGAGGTGATAATTCCCTGTAACCGGTCTGCGGCCAAATCTAAGTTTATAATATCACTTATAATACCTATTGTAATCAATGAAAAGACTTTGCCCACATACCAGAACTAGAGAAAGCTTCTCGTGACAAAAACATTTTCTCACCAAGTAAGCATCATCGAAAGATAAAATACTGTTTCAAAGAAACTATTTCATCATTATAAATGAATATTATAAATAGTAGACCTATTTCAGAAGTTTATAATAGTTATAATATCATATTACTTGAAATTGCATACAGACGCATTATCATAAGATTATCTCAAAAATTCATGTGATATAACTAAGTCAAAGCTATTTTTCAAATTTGCTGGCCGTGGTCTGCAACGGGTCAAGTGTTCGGGTTGCCCTCAAAGCAGCAAATTAAACACAAAGTTTCTCGGTGTTTTCACTGATAATAGGCTGAAATTTGATGAACACCTTTAACAACTGAAGAGTAAGATCTTCTCTGGATGTTATGCAGTTAGAGTGGTTTCAAATGAGTTGGGTTTCCATATCGCAAAGACCATTTACCATGCACTTATTGAATCTCGTCTACGTCATGGAATACCTTTATGGGGAGCATGCAACTCATCCCTTCTCTCTTTTGTATTGATATTAAGATGTCTCTGTAAAGTCAAACCCAGAAAATCGTGCAGGAATTTGTTCACTGCCAATAAAATGTTAACATTCATCGCACTTTTTATCTTAGAGATGGTTTGCCTTATTTACAAATATAAATCAAAGTTCAACTTTGCTTCTACTCTTTATGCTACTCGCATTAGCAATTATACCTTTAGACTTCCCATCCCAACTTCAAATTTAATCAAGGATTCCATATACTATAATGGTGGTAAATTGTTCAATCATTTACCATTAGAAATAAGATCTGCAAATTTAAGCAACATTCATTTCAAAAAGATGGTGAAGAACCTACTTGTTGATAGACGCTATTATAGTTTGGAAGAGTATTTTAGCGAATCCTTTTAACAATATATTAGCAATATATAGCAATTTATTCTTTGTACTATCACTCTATACATGGTGGTATTTTATCTATACATTTTTAGAACTTTTTTTATATTTACAGTCATACATTTTTGGAACTTTTTTATACCTACATTTATACTTTTTTAGTACTTTTTCTATATCTATTAATATTGTATTTCTTGGACTTTGTCAATAAGATGCAAATCTTATGACAATTAAATTATATTTTGATTTGATTTGCTTTGATTAAGATGCAGACCACGGCCAATAAAATATCTTGATGTAATTTTAAAAAAATGTTTAGTTGTTTTCTAACTCCATGATGTATTTTAATAAGAAAATACTTTTCCTTATTCAGTTTTTCCTAATTTTTCTATTCATTTTACAAGTGTTTCAAGATTCCTACACAGTCATCAAAATCAAAGAACTAAAAATATCATCTCATTCCCGAGAAGTATAAAGATAAACTACTGAATTACCTTTTAACTTTTTTCAAAATATGATCAAAACATATTCCACATGTTTTGTCTTCTGATTCAGAAATTTTTACCAAAGATATAGCTTCTTCAACAGATGACGTGCTAGGCCCATAATTATTTTCCTCATTACAATCTGTTTCGCTTTTGGATGATTTTCTCGGAGACAGGGCACAAGCACCTTGATTCCATTCCTCCTCTGGTATTGATACCTAAAAAATAGCTTCTGCAACATTTTTCTCATAAAAGATAGACAGATACTTCATTTTTATCATTGAAGTTTTACACAAAAGTAAACTCATAAGACTAGTCAAGATTCATTATCTCACGAAAAAAAATCTGCAAAACATGAATTTTACAAAAACATCAAACCATATTTCAGTAAGGAAATTACTAATCTATGACTGATACTTTATGTTTTCCAGCTGATTGATTTACAAAATGGTACTATGCATTTCTCAGTTCAGTTTTTCGTCAATAGTTATATTCAAGAAATTTTATGTATGATAACTTGAATTAGCTTATAATTCATTCTAATGAGTGAGTTAAAGTCATATAGAACATTCTTCTAGTGAAAGAGTATATAAAATGATTTTCAAGTACATCATAAATGAAATTCATTACTTTATAAAATGTTTTTTGTGGATAGAAATGTAACTTTATTTCAAGTAATTTATTTTTCAGAGAACAATTGGAAAACCTACCCTTTCCTGTACAATTTCTTGGGGTTTTTCATGACTGTTCCAACATCGAGAGCCAAATCTGCACATTCCACGTAAATTATATATACATATAGGTCTTTCTTGGAAATTTTCTTTATTCATTTTGAAGCTATTCAATAAAAAACCAATGTAAAACGAAGTGAATGGAACTGTCCAAATTTTCTTGTATCTTTGGCTTTAAAAGATGAATGCCTTAATGACAAATTAATTTGCACTGTTATCAATTAGTTCCATTGTTTTAAAATGACATTTCAGAAAGTGGGTACCTAAAAAAATATAAAAATGTTGGATAGATATTTATAGGTTATTAAATTTTTATTGCTAAAATATACACAAATGCAATCAATACTAATTAACCAACTAAGAAAATTTAAAAACACTTGTGAAAAGTAAGACTATAGGTAGGATAGGAAAATAATGTCAGAAAACACTAAAAATCAGCACTATAATCAGATGCATTTTTTCAATGTTTTTATTGGAAATAACATTTATTTCTCAATGAGTACATATACCATATAACTGAATACTCTGGTAGTTGAATTGGTTTCGCACTGATGGGAAAAATAAAAATGTTCTGTAATAGTTAAACAATGGAATCTCTATTCAGGTGAAGAGCAGGCACATTTTTCACTGTTTTGGGGGACAATAAGTAAATGGCGACAAACATATCCTCTAATAAAAATCAATTTGATTTAAATATTCGCACTACTAACAATGACCAACTCACCTTGTGCTGTAGGAAATAGGCAAATAGTATGAACTACTTCAAATCAATTTGTTATCAATTATCTGAACATAAAAAATTATACAACGGATGACAACTTGGACTGATTTGAAATTTTAACTGAACTATGATATACCTACCTAAGAAAATGTAGGAAGTAGAGATTGGTTAGAAACTGAAATAGATTCTAAAATTTTGTCACTTTAATTTTTTGATCAAACAGCTGCGTATAATTCAGCCACAACCTCAAAATATCACGAAACAGATAGATAAAGGCAGTCCAGTCAGTCATGTCATAAAACACAAGAAGAGGAATATCCCACATCGACAGGATGAAGTTTAATTGGATTGGAAATCCAAATTGAAATGCAAGAACCATGGTGGCAAAAGTGCAAAACACAGATGTCTACATTGAATCTAGATATACGTTCAATTATATTTGCAAACCAGTATATTTAACTATTTTCAATGTATTTTTTGTGTGGATATTTTAGGATTCTAATAGTTCGAGCAAATACTTCTTCTTTTGTTCAGGTGTTTTTACGCCTGAATAATATTCTGACTCCCATTCAGCATGGTTTCAGGTGTGGCAAATCAACTCAAAGTGTCCTACAATCTTTCTACGATGACTTGATTGAATTTATTGACTCAGGCGAGTGTCCCGTTGTAGTTCTATGTGACTTGAGCAGGGCCTTTGGCTGTGTTAATCATATCAAGCTATTAGATATTCTGGATCTTCATGGAATAAGAGAAAATTCACATTCATAGGTTTCATTTTTTCTCGGCAACAGAATGCAGTGGGTCTCGCTCAAATTTGGCAAAGGTGATGTTCATTCATCTTCAGCATCAGAAATGAGGTCGGTCCAGCTGGGAGTACTCCAGGGATCTATACTTGGCCCACTCTTCATCCTATTATTTATCAATAATACAGACAGGAAAATACCATTTTCTGCAGTAACTGCTTATGCAGATGATATTAGTTTGGTGATATCTGCCAAAGTGACGAATGCATTAACACGAAAATGTGAATATACAGGGATGTAGTTTCAAACTATTTCAATAGTCACGACCTGTTTTTCAACGTAAAAAAAACTCAGTTAATCCGCCTTCACAACTATCAAAATAAAACCGATGATATTCAAGTGACTGTTAATGACTATTTTCAGAAACACCCATGATGTTGTTAAATTCCTAGGCATGCAAATGGATGGGAGTCTTTCTTGGAATGAGCACTGTGATCAACTAGTTTCAAAATTGAGCTCTATAACCTATCTTTTCTCTTTTCATTAACTTGAGAAATGTTATCAACATAAACCAACTTATGGCTGTTTATCATGCCCAGGTCGAATCCAGGTTGAACTATGGTGTATGTTTGTAGGGCAACTCTGCAAAGGTAAAAATGTATTTATCCAACAAAAAGCTATCCTACGCTGTTTGTTCAATGTTCCTCAACAGTATTCATGCAGAAATATTTTCGCTACACACGAAATTTTAACTCTGGTTCGATTATATATTTATGAGTTGTCAGTTTATGTTTTCACTAACAGGAATGACTTCAATCTCAATAGCGATATTCATGATAAAAACACTCGGCAGAAGCAAATGATACACGTTAGATCGGCTAACTATAAGATAACTCAAAGTGCACCAAAACGTATAGGACCCAAAATTTACAACTTTTTACCAAATAATTTGAAGTCAATATGCAGTCTTTCGTTGTTTAAAAAAAATTGAAATCTTTTCTGTTAGAAAGATGTTTTTATACTCTTGACGAGTTTTCAAATACAAAAATGGGATTTGCTACTCTATGTATTTCCATTGTCAGTAGTAGATTACAGCCGGTTCTGAGCCTCCCCCCACCACTATGACGTATTAATTGCTTTTTTTTGTTGTTCAGTAACATCAAGGCGATGTGACCTTGAAGTGTCTGGTGCAGGGATCGTTCAGAATATATATAGATGAACATTTCAACCTAGCAGACCACTGTTATAATATTCATGCAGTCATTGTTCACTGTGGTTCTGGCGTTGAATTTGGTCATTATTACGCCTTGGTTAAAGAAGAAACGGACTGGTTTATGTTTGACGATAGTCGTGTTACGAAGTGTTCTGGCGATGCATTGAATTTATTGGAGCCTCTGGAGACACCCTACATTTTGTTTAGTGTGTGTGTGTGTGTGAATGCACGGTACAGGGTTTCATCATGTGCTTGTCTATGTACAAACATACGTCTGCATACTTCGAAGATCCTTCATATAATGAATGTTCTATCGGTGTGAGCCCACCAAGTTAGTAGTGGTGTGACGTCACAGCAGCAACCGTTCAACGGTAAGAGAGCAACATGTTCACTCCACGACGTGTGGCTGAGTAATGCTTATTCATCGGTATGCCCTCACCTCTCTCGATGTGGTGAAGGCTGTGACGTAATGCATCGCTCTAGCCTCGCTTTCGATGGTGACACGCAGGCGGTCGAGGACTGTGCTAATGTCTGCCCTCTCCGAGAGCGCAACGACCACTGCCTGTTCGCATCGACATCTGCTATCTCATCCAGCTGGGAGGTGGGCTTGGCGCATGTAGCTGAGAGGTGGGGTTGGCTATGACGTCTTGACGGGCCCGATCAGACTGTATTTAAGAACCGGACGAGTGTTGGTTATGTCAGTTCACATAAAGTGAGTTAGTGAGAATGTATCATATAAAATGTATTCCTGTGACTGTGGTAAATCTTTCACTCGTAGTGATAATCTTCGTCGGCATCAACTCCAGAGTTGCCAAAGAGGGCCTTCAGTGAATCGGATGAGAGCGGGCAATGCAACACCTATGTATACTTGCAATTGTTGTAACGTGACAATTCCTATGACACAAGTCAACTCTCACCGAAGAACCATGAGTCATAAAAATAATGCATGTGTTCAATTGTCTGAAGGTGTTCAACTTATAACGAATGCATTCAATTGCCGCATTGCTACATACAGGGTGGAGAGTTCGATTGTATCCAGTGACTACATCTCATTTTTTAATGAGATTAGGCAGAAGGTCATTGAATTACTGGAATCGGCCATGAGGATCCATAAAAGTATCAACGTGAACGTGGAAGTTTTTGGGAATTATATTCTTCAGACTCAAGATTCGAGGGACACGAAGTCATTTAATTCCCAAAATAAAATAGTGAACCAATTTTCAGATTTGAATGCTGTTTTTGATGGATTCCGCGATGTAATTGTGGCTCAAACGACTGAATTCCAGGAACGTGACTCAGGTATTAATTTTTTGTAAATTCCAACGAGATTAATTAGTAATTTTTTTTTGTAATTTAGGTTGGACTTGTGAAAAAATACTATTTCTCGAAGTCAACATTAATAAATACAATCCACTGGGAGGACGTTCATATGTGAAGCTGCCCGAATGCATTGAATGGAGGAAAGCTGTCGTGAATGTTCGTAACGAAAATCAACGCTGTTTTGATTGGGCTATCACATCAGCATTTTATGCTGCAAATGGTAGTGTCCGAAGTTACATCATATCCACATTTTTCCAATGTTTTAGATGTCACAGGTATGGATTTTCCGGTTAAAGTTAATCATAAGAGTATTGAAAGATTTGAAGATACGAATGATATTTCAATTAATGTTTAGGGTTTAGAGAGTAAATTTGATAAGGGTAAAATAGAGTATGATGTGATTGGTCCATTGCGATACTCACAGAGAAGACTTCGGAGACATGTCAATTTATTAATTATAACTGATGACTCCGGTAATAGTCACTATTGTTGGATCAAAGATCTTTCAAGATTAGTTTTTAGTCAACTATCAGCTCATGATCATAAAAAATATTTTTGTGATGGATGTTTGATATATTTTTCCAGCGAGAGATTGCTTTTACGTCATAAGATGAATGATTGTAACTCGTTAGTACTACAACACCAAGCACCAATTTTAAGATCAATAAATATGGTCGGATGGTTGCGGAAAATAAATTAATGTTTGAAATTTTTGAGAGACAAATAAGGGTGCCATTTGTAGTATATGCTGATTTTGAATCAGTACCTGAACCGATTCACGTGAATGAGCCAAATCCCGAAAGTTCATACATGATTAAAACATTCAAACATGCTCCATATTCATTTGCTTATCTGATAAAATGTTAATATAATGATGATTTGTCAAAATTTGTTACATATAGGGGTGTAGATGCAGCTCAGAAATTTGTGAGTAGCATTGAAGATGATTTGAAAAAGATATATGGAAATCATCTCAGATACCCTATACCAATGGATGCAGCCAGAACTTGTGGTATATGTAATAAACCATTTATTGATGTCTTCGGTCTTCGGGTGATGAGTCATCACCCGAAGACGTTGTAGATACCAACAATCGAAACGTCGTGAACTAACGTGACTTGGAATCTCTACACTTTTTTATTTTTATTATTTTCTTTTTGCATTCCTTTAATTTTTATTTATTCAATTATTATATTTTTACTTGTAGGTTATTTCACTATCATTTCATTTCAGGTTTATTGTTGCTTAATATAATTGTTATTTTCA